TTAAATTTAACAAATAATGGTTGGCCATTGCCTTTATGTGAGAAATTACTTAATAGAGATACATCAATAAATTAATACAGATTTAGTACCCTGAAAGCATAAACAGGAAGTTGGCCAAAAACAAACCAAAAAAACCCACCAATAACTATAAATCAATATTTATTGCAATGAGGGACACATGACAGATGTAAGGAGCTACATCAGTCAAAAAGAGAAAGTACATATGGTTGTTGTGAGTATAAGAAATATGGATCAAAGACATAGCATTTTAATATAAACCTTGGAGGGCAGGATTGTAAAATATGAAATAAGTTAAAGAGGAGATATTAAAAGAAGATAAAATAGCATGGGAAAGGCTCAGAGAAAAAATTGTTGATGAAAGGAATGACAAATCAGGTTGGCAAAATTAGGAAGACCTCTGGACAAATGAGCATGTTCTTCAGGCTCCCATGGATGATAAACACTCACTGAAGAGGTTAATTTGAACACAGGGCTAGCGATTCAGAGCATAAGTATTTTTGTAAGGAGGCTATAATAAGATGAGTGTCCTAAATTTTTGGAGTACATAGTATAGATTAAGGAGATTTGTAGTGCAGTGGTTAAGGCATTTGGCTGCTAACCAAAAGGTCAGTGGTTCCAGCTCACTAACCACTCCACAAAAGAAAGATGAGGTAATCTGATTCTGTAAAGATCTATAGCCTTGGCAATCTTACGGGGCAATTCTACTTTGTCCTATAGGTTCACTACTGAGTTGGAATCGGCTGGATGGGAGTGGGTTTGGTTTTGGTGTAATATGGGTCACTATGAGTTGGGAGCGACTCAAAGGCAGTGGGTTTTATGGTCTGGGTTCCTACTCCAGACTAACTGTTACATTGTACTGCCCCTCAAATCTCTGAGTCTTTGCGAGGGATGCCAATGAACTATTTTCATTGGGCAATTTACTCAAAAAATCCTTTTAATTATGAGTTTACTAAATTAGTCATATTTTTTTCTAACCAAACTAACCAGTTTTCTCCATCCTCAAAGCCTTCACCCTTGCTCTTCCCTTTGTCTGAAAGCTCTTCCCTTTGTCTGAAAGCTCTTCCCTTTGTCTGAAAGCTCTTCCCTTAGCCAGTAGTGTGACTCATTCGCTCATCACTTTCTATGCCTTCTCAGTGAACTCTTCCCTCAACAACCTTTTAAAAACTCACAGTCCCATGACTTGCTTTATTTTTATTCATCATCTTATCACCTTCTCACATACAACCATACCAAAACCAATGCCACTGCTGTCAAGTTGCCTCTGACTTATGGAGACCCATGTGTTAGAGTAGGACATCTCCATAGAGTTCTCTCAGCTGTGAGCTTTATGATGACAGATTGTTGGGCCTTTCCTCCAGGCATCACCGAGTGGTTATCAACAGCCCACCTTTGAGTTAGCAGTTGATCACAAACATCTTGCACCACTCATGGAACTCTCTGACATATTATATAATTTATTTATTTTGTTTATGTTCTGTCCCTCTCCCTCCTTCTACAAGATACATGCTCCAGACAACAGGGATTTCTGTCTGTTTTAATCACAACAGTACCTCCAGTGCTTAGATTAATGCCTGTTATATGATATCAAATGAATAAATATATATGCAAGTGAAATATATGCATGGTATTTACCTGATAATTTGACAGAGCCTTTATGTAAATTACAACTCTAGCTATTGTTTCATGTTGCATTTAGTCCTTACAAAATAAATCATATGTAATAGTCCCTTTATTTTAGAAGCAAATAATAAAGCTGAAATGTCAAAAAATATGAACACAGTTTCAGCTGCTATTTTAAGGGAGGAAACAAAGATATCCTGATATATCCAGGGCTACCTGTTTCTCTCAACAGGACATTTGTGAAATCTGGCAAATTAAAAGGTGCTCCCCAACGAGAGCATAGAGTTTAGAATTGTTGCTGTACGCCATTGAGTTGATTCCAACTCGTAGTGACCCTAGAGGACAGAGCAGAACTGCTCCACAGAGTTCCTAGACTTTAATCTTTACTGTAACAAATCACCAGGTCTTTTCTATCACAGAGTCGCTGGTAGGTTTGAATTACCAGTATTTTGGTTAGCAGCCAAGCACCTAACTACTGCATTACCAGGGCTCCTGGGTTTAGATTTACACAAGTCTAAATTGTAGAACCCTTAAGTGGCTCAACCAGTTACATGTTCAGCCTCTGATTAAAATATTGACAGTTTGAGTCTACCCAGAGTTACCTCAGAAGAAAAGCCTGGTGATCTACTTTCAAAAACTCAGCCATTGAAAAGCCTACGGGTCATAATTCTACTCTAACACATATGGGGTTGCCATGAATTATAACTGACTGATGGCAATATTGGTTTGGTGAAATTCTAATCCCAGTGATACTATTCACTATTCATACGACCTTGGCCTAATAATTAGCTTCTCTGGGTCTAAGTGATTTCATTTCTAAAATGAAGATAACAATCCTTACTTCATAATGAGAATGTGAACTATCAGATGAGATCATCTTCGGAAACAACTAGCCAAGCCCTTGGCACATAGAAACAATTAAATTAGTACATGTGGAATGAATTAATTCTTGACCAGCAGGGAGAGGCTTTAACTGGAAAAAAAAGCATGGCTTTTTAAAAATCTATTTCTCCTGTGTTTTATCCACCTATGCTTTCACTCATTATGATCCCTCTGCTTGCAATATTACTAAAATAATGAAGAGCATTGTGTATTGATTGGTTTCTATTTGGTATGCATTATCTGTATTATTATTCATGTTTTACAGATTACAAAAGTTGAATCTTTGGCAAATTGAGAAATTTGTACAAGGCCAAAGAGAAGGCAGCAGAGTAAGTAAGGCTTTGAATCTCACTTGAGACTTAGTTGTCTCAGTCACCACCTTCTTCATCTGGAGAGGAGTGCTCCAACAACCAGGAAGTGGTCTGTAAATTCACAACCTGAATATGTATATGTCTGTGTTCCTATGGAATCTTACCCACATTTCTCTCACAATACATAGTCTAAGTTTAAACTTATTTGTTCTTTTCTACATCTGCACCTAAACTTCTAGAAATACCTCTTCTATCGTGGGTTGTTGTTGTTGTTATGTGCCATCAAGTCAGATCCAACTCATAGTAACCCCTCCTTGGGTTTCTGAGGTGCTATCACTGCAGAAGTAGATTGCCTAACCTTTCTTCCGAGGAGTGGCTGCTGGGTTTGAACCACCAGCCTTCTGGTTAGCAGTCAAGTGCCTTAGGCACTACCAGAGCTCCTATTGTGGCTTACTATTTCTATTTTAAATCTTGAATTGGTTATCACTGGGCACCTTTCTTAAGAAGCTCAAAGAAACCAACATAAACTAATTTATATTGTAGCTTCTTGTCTAATTGCTTCACATGGCGGGAGGAGGGGGGTTACTGTTGATTCAATTCCAACTGATGGCGACCCCACGTCTTTCAGAGTGGAACTCTGCTTCATAAGGCTTGCGATGACTGTGATCTTTTGAAAGTAGATGGGCAGGTCTTCTTTCTCATGTGTCTTTGAGTTAATTTGAGGTATCAACCTTAATACCTGAGGACTTAACTGTTTATGCCACTCTAGGACTTTCCAATTCATACATTCCTCACAAGAATCCTATAAGGCAGATACATCTTTTACCATCATATTTAAACTCTAAAACCAAACTCACTGCCATCGAGTTGGTTCTGACTCATAACCACCCCCATTGGGTTTCCAAAGCTGTAAATATTTGTGGAAGCAGACTGCCTTATATCTTACTTCTGCAGAACAGCTGGTGAGTTTAGAGGTGATGAAAACGAAATACAGTGAGATTATGAATTCCCACAGTTTATATCCTAAGGCTAGGAATTGAACCCAAGCAGTTAGATTACAGAGTGTATATCCTTAGCCATGAGACTATGTTGCCTGCTATAAACCAGGAAAAGTTACATTTTCTTTTCTTTCAAGAAATCCTAGGACAATGAACTTGCATATGGTCTAAATTCTAATTCTGCAGAAAATGGCACTTATACATCTGAAAAAATCTTTATAATTTTTTTTTGTGATGCTGAAATCTGTTATTAGTCAAACTCAAAAGTTTATTTGAATAAAATAGATTAATTTAGAATCTTATAGAAATAGCAAGTTTCAGGTTGATATTTATAAAAATTGTTAATGGTACTACCTCCTACCACACCAATTTAGAAATACCATCTTGGTGGTCTTCATTGACTTAAATAGGGTCCTAGCCGTCCTCTTGTAGGATGCTGGACTTTTAACCATAAAGTTTCATAAATTCAAAACCAAAAATAAAGAAAGTTTTAGAAGGCATCTTTCCTTTCAATATCCACTTCAATTTTTTACTTTCTAAGTAAAGTAACTTAAGCACAGAGAGCCTATTTTTAACAGAGAGAGCAAAGTATTTGTTCTCTGTAAGTTGGAACAGTGTGCAAGTGTTCTGGCTTCACTGTTATCTGAACGACAAAGCATTAAATCATAACAAGGGAAAAGTCAGCTTATTCTCTTAGAATAGAAAGAGATTAGTGTCGACAAGAGCTTTGTCCAAGAAAGGAAAAAAAAAAAAAAAAGAAAAAGAAAGAAAGAAACCTACCCAGAAAATAAATTATGCACAAGAAACCTATAATTTTAAGAAACATTTTCAGAAACTGATAACTATTAGGTAATGAAAGCACAGAAAAGGTTCCATATGAGATATGAAAAAAAAAACGTTTTTAGTCAACACAACTGACTGTTTATGTTCCTTATATAAAGTGTGCTTCATCAATGAGTATGGAGTTCACAGAATAAAAATTCATATGGATCCTCCCTCCTTTAATTCCGTAATAAAACAGTACTTAAGATTATTAGGCACGTAGAAACTTTTCTTAAGTTAAAATGTATAAAAAGCCCCATATTCCTTGACATATATCCCTAGATTCTTTTGTACAACTTAAACAAAACTTCCTCCCTCCAAACTTAAAGAAACAACGTCTTCTTACCATATATTCCATGTTAGCTGCTGGTGGAAACACTTTGCCCCGAACTTGATTATGATAATCAAGAATGGCGATCATATCATTCTGCGAAATGTAGCGCTTCCTCCTGGCTTTGGGAATATCCGCAGAATCTAGTTGTGCTTCTAGAGCTGCTTCAATAACAGTGAAGTTATTGGTTGGCGGGGATGAGTCAGTGGAATTGAGTAAGATGACGGCACTCGCTTCACAGAGTAGGGAGAACAGGAGTGCTCCACTGACAGCAGAGATGGCTATCATTTTGAGGGGTGGAGAACGAGAAGCCACTGAGTGTGTTTTCTTTGAAAGCAGAAAGGCAGAGTTATGGACTATGAAAGAAAAAAAGGGGAGAGGGGCAAAAGATGTGAATTTACAGTCATCCTTTGGAAGCAATGCTTGATGTAACTCTCTCCAAAAATCCAGGCAACTTTTGAAGTCAAGCTTAGAAAACAATCTATAGTAGAGATGCTATTTATTTTGCTTAATGTTATGAGACATACCCCTAAGAGTAAGGCTGGAGAAAAAAATCAAGCAGCATGACAACTAAACCCAAAATGAATGTGAACCACTTGCCCCAAATGCCTAACCACAGACTGGATTACTGAATATTTATTGCAATGAGAAATCTCTAGAATAGAAGTTCATCTTGAGAATGGAAATGAAAAATGCATCATAGGTAACAGAGAATGTGCTAAGAACATCTCTCAGATATAGATCTATATATAACTATATGTGTGTGTGTATATATATATATATATATATATATATATTCCACTCTCAATTCTTAAGAAAAAAAAAATGAGTTACTTTAAAATCAATGCATGCAAAATAAACTTGTTGAGCTGAATGGCTTACCTCTGCACAATGCCAAAATGAGTATATTGTTCTTCCAAAAATTTAAAGTTCTTTGCTATGTTGTTCTATGCTACTCTTGTAAGAGGACTGTGTCTTATTACAAACTCTGAGAGCAAAACTCTGCAAGGTTTGAATGCTGCTGGCTACAGAAGCTGCTAACAGCTTTTATATGTCAGTGTGCAACTCCAGAAAGGGCAGTCTTTCTTAAGGTCTCTCCTAGCCAAGATCAAAGGGGAGGGGTTTTGGATAGAAAACACAGTGATTGGGTGGCAACTTTTTATGTGGGTGGTGAGGAAATTGAGTCACACCCACAGCTTACAAAGTACAAACCATAAAAGACAACCCCCTTTTTCTCTGGGCTTCCACCTTTTTTTCTGTGAGTGGTTAATTTTCCCTATTGAATGCTTTTTAGTTCCTGGTTCCCATACAAAAAGAAGAAGAAGAAGAAAAAAAAACAGAAAAAGAAGACTGTGAGTTCTTGGAAATACAGATGGCTGAGTAACAAGCAGTACATTTTTTGAAGATAGTAAATGACATGGGAGATGAAAAGAGCAAGCTGATATAAAATCAAAAGATCAGCTCACATAGTTAATCTGAGTGGCCACAAATATGATTCAAAAGGGATGCCAGGCAAATAAGTAGTCACCAAACTATAGCATATGATATTAGGTAATAGATGCTTAAGTGGTTGTTCCTCCTTGTCTCTGTGTGGCTTTATTTCTCTACTTTATATATTTATTTTCTCTTTCTTTCTTCTTTTACCCTTCCTACATTTTCTCTTTCTCTAGAAAATGAGGCCAGGAAGTAAGCTGCCTTATACCTGCCTTGCCTATAATGCAAATAGAGAAGTCCATGGCAAGTCACAGCAGCCAAGATAACATCTGTTTCAGGTTTAGAAGCATATAGCTGAAATGTTAAGCAGAGAATGGCTCAGCTTCTCAGGAAGCATTTGGAGGGCAAAGCACAGAGGCCATGAAGAATTTAATAGTAGCTGCCACCAACAAGAGTCAAAAATGCCTTGTTAGGAGTATGCTTTCCGAACAAAATCAGTGTTAGACAGAGCAAGAGCCAAAAATATGAAAGTTCAATTCAGTTTTTTGTAAGACTCTCAAAAAATGTCACACACAGGGTCAAAGCAAGATGATAGAGTGCGTGGATGCTACCATTTACTCCCCCAGCAACTAACTCACTGAACAATGAAATCAAACAAGTACTAACATCTCAGAATGACAGAGGGTACCTGAAATATTGGTGAGTAGAGATGAGTCCAGAAGTGGTGGGGAGGAGGAACGGGAATGGCACAGAAGTGGGGAGAACCTACCTGCTAACATTGGGAGTGCTCACTCATAGGAGCCATTTTGGGCTGGGGCTGGGGAACACCTAAAGCAGGGAACACAGAAAGGGAGCTACTCTGAGCAAGCTGTAACCTGATTTTTAAAAGACAGCACGAACTGGCTGTCCAAAGTTCACAGGCCACACAAATGGAAGAGGGTAAAGGGAGACTGTGATACTGCAAGATAGTGCTATGGAATCTCTCTGAGGCCTGAAATAGATAGGCACTAGGACCAGGTGGAACTGCAAGGTCAGCAGTGTGAGAGGAAAACTTCAGACTGACAGGTGACACAGAGAAAATGGCCCACACATGGACACTGTAGGAAAGCCAGTGCAAGGTTGCCTATGAGGGAAAAACATAGAAAGCCCCCTACATTCACCACGGGAAAATCAAGCCCCACTGGTGTATTAGCATCTGCCACCAGCTGAACTCTTCCTCCTGTGTATATATAATGAACTCCAGAAATCCTGAATCAGCATGGAAAAAAAATTAAGAGGGCTCTCTAGAGATTCTCAAGAGAAGATACCGAGCCTGCTGCCACTGGATCAATTCTGACTCATAGTGACCCTGTTGAGATCAGGGGAGGCTGTCTCATAGAGTTCCCAGTGTAGTGAGTCTTTGTGGCAGTGGGCTGCCACAACTTCCTGCCACAGAATGGCTGCTTAGTGTGGGCCCCAGCTTTTCAGTTGGTAGGTGGGCACTTGGTTACTGCTTCACCAGAGCCCAGAGCACTAAATCAGAAAAGTTTCCCACAAAAACCAGAGTATCAAATTCAAAATAACAATTTAAAAAATATAATAAAATAGCCTAATTTCAACAAAAGAATAGTAAAAGGTACAAAATCACAGGAGAATCAAAAGCAAAACATGAAGAAGAGGAAATTACTCCTATGGAGGCCAGACTATGTTTAAAGAAAGCAAAAGAACATAGAAAACAAACTAGCAGTGATCAGCAAACAAATGGAGGAACACAGTGAAACATTCAACAAGGAAATTGAAGACATCTAAAAAAAGAGATAACTACTTAAACTGAAGAATATAGCAACTGAAGTGGAAAAGCAAGAGAAACACTGAACAACAGAATCAAATAGAAAGAAGATAGAATAAATGAACTAGAAGACAAAATAACTGACCTTATCAAGTCTCAAGGAAAACAAGATTAAAAAAAAAAAAAAGAAAAATGAACAAACGCAAAAGGAAATATGTGACTCAACTAAAAGATCTAACATTAGAGTTATTGGAATCCCAGAGCACCATGATAATAGTAAAGACACAGAAACAATTTTCCAAAAGATAACCACAGAGAATTTCCCTAATCTGAACAGAGAATGAAGTCTGCAGATACAAGATGCTACTCAGATCCCAATCAGAAGATACACAAAAAAGTCATCTCCATGCCATATCCTAATAAAATAATTGAAAATCTAAGACAAGGAGAGGATTCTGAAAGCAGGAAGAGAAAATCACTAAACAATATACCAAAGGTCTTTTATAAAAGTCAGTGCAGATTTCTCCACAGAAACTCTAGAGTCTAGAAGACAAGGAACACCATATATAAATACATGATGAAAATAATCACAAACCAAGAATTCTTTATCCAGCAAAGTTGTCATTCAAAAATGAGGGGGAAATCAAGCCATTCTAAAACAAGCTTTGAGAATTTGTCACTACCAGACCAGGGAGCTCTGGTAGCATAGTGCCTAAGGCATTTGAATGCTAACCAGAAGGCTGGCGGTTCAAACCCATCAGCCACTCCTTGGAAGGAAGGTTGGGCAATCTACTTCCGTAGTGATACCACCTCGGAAACACAAGGAGGGGTCGTTATGAGTTGGGTCTTACTCGATGGCACATAACAACAACAACAGACCAGTTTTGCAAGTATCACTCAAGGGAGTACTTCACATGGAAAAGCAAAAATATTAAATAAGTACTCATATCTGTATACTGGGAAAAAATAAAGAAGAAAAGAATGAGCTCTAAAAAATGCAATCATAAAGAGCAAGTACATGATATTTTCAGGGGATAAATTCAATAATTAAATCCCATGAACAATATAACATCAAGTGTAACAAGTAAGAACAAAGTACACTGATCAAATATAGATTGTATATTGATGTTAATGGAAACAGACTGATAAAAATAGGGGAAGGAGGAGCATATCAGGAATAGATTGATTATGTTAAATTTGTATGTTAACTGTTGTTTATTGTTAATCATTATTGCAATTGTAAGTTGTGTGATTGGATATATGTAGTAACCACTAAGAAATCACCAAGAAAAAATATTCAGAAGAAAAGAAGGAAGAAAGTAAAAACGTTCATCACAAGAAAGCAGCCAAATACAAACAAAAACAGAAAAATCAAAATAATAATAATAAAAGAATATATGAAACACTCAAAAAACAAATAGCAAAATGAGTGAGGTAGAGATATCATTTTCAGAGATAACCTTAAATGTAAATGATCTAAATGCCCCATGCAAAAGGCAGAGCTTGGTAGAATGAACAAAGAAAACATGATGCTGTCTACAAAGAAGCACAACTGAGACATAATGACACAAACAGACTGAAAATATGTATGGAGAAAAGTATTCCATGCAACCAGTAAACATAATAAAAGCAAGAGTGACCATTGTTATACCAGATAAAACAGTTTTTAAATCAAAATATATCATGAAAGATAAATAGGACATTCCAAAACCAAAACCAACCTCACTGCCACCGAGTTGGATCTGACTCATAGCGACCCCTCCTTGGGTTTCTGAGACAGTATCACTATGGAAGTAGATTGCTCAATCTTCCTTTTGAGGAGTGGCTGGTGGGTTTGAACCTCCAGCCTTCTGGTTAGCAGTCAAATGCCTTAGGCACTACACCACTGGAACTCCCAAGAAAGACATTACATAATAAAAAAAAAGTCAACTCAGTAAGAAAACATAACAATTATCAATATATATGCAACAACAATGCACTAAAATTATGCAAATACTAATATGAAAGGAGAACTAGACAACTACTCAATAATAGTAGGGGACTTCACACCAGTTTCAATTCTAGGCAGAACATTTAAAAGATCATCACTAATGACACTGAGAACCTAAATAAAACCATAAGCCAATTGGACCTAATAGACATATATAGAACACTCCACCCAACATCAGAACAATACACCTTCTTTTCCAGCACACATGGATCATTTTCCAGAATAGATCATATGATAGGACATAAAACAAATCTGAACAAATTTAAAAAGATTGAGATCATATAAAGCACCTTCTCTGACAGTGTAACAGTATGAAGCTAGAAATCAACAACAGGAAAAATAAGTAAGTACATGGAAACTAAATTATACCCTACCACAAAACTATTGAGTCATAAAAAAAATCAAAAGTGAAATTTAAAATTGCTAAAGTAAAAAAAAATGAAAACACAGCATATCAAAACTCTTGGGACAGAGCAAAAAAGTTCAGAAAGTTACTTAACAACTTGAGCAAATAGCAAAAGAAGACCAAAAGAGGCCAACATCTTTCA